TCCCTAATCTCGACGTTTGTTCCCCGACATTTGTGCTCTGATATACGAATAATTTATTCACTTATGATGCTCCAACACAAAATGATTGCATTTACATGAAGAGTTTCGGCTATTTTAAGATAACTGGGGTAAATTAAGGATATTTTAGGGTATCTGTGGCTAGCTTAGGTTGTTTAAGGGTAACTGGCTCTAGATTATTTTTAGGTAACTGGGTTTAGGCTATGTTATTTTAAGGTAAATGTGGTTGGGTTAAGGTCATTTTAGGGTAATTGTGCATTCATGCGAAATTATCAGGGCTTCTGTAAACCCTACAGCTCCAAAGGGACTCCATAAGCTCCATGGCGACAGGCAAGCAGGAGCTCCAGGCAGACGCTCCAGGCAGACGCTCCAGGCAGACGCTCCAGGCAGAACCAGGCATACGCTCCAAGCATACGCTCCAGTCAGTAGGTCGCTGGACAGGAATTTTAAATCGGACAACTTCTTGCCGTATCCTGGATACCGTGCCGGCGGGTAGAGCCTGTCCAGCCGCTAATTTTTTACCTCCCCTGCCGCGTTGTCCAAAAATAGGAAACGCCCAGAAAATAAAGGCTGGCGGTAACGGCCACGGCCTGCATACCGGTGACGAAAGGCTGCTGCTGCGCAGGGTTGGCAGTAACGGCAAAAAATATTTGTTATCTCATAAAAAAATCCGGTTGGCTGCTTTGGTGCTAGGTGCAATTATTGTGTAAAACTCAAAAATTAGACACATTTTTTAGGAACTACCAAAAATTGCTTAAGTACACTTGGCGGCTCAAATAACCGTAGCGGACGATTTCTCGTCTGTGATGGGTTTTGTTTGAAAAGCTGTCAGTGATTAGCTGACGGTGTTAAGAACTCTTAACCATTTTTGATTGCATGGCCATGTTTTCGAAAAGTCTGACCGTGTTCTTTACGAGCGTTTTTTTCTAAGTATAATGTAAGCTTTCCGGCCAAATGAGCTACATTCAATTTTCGAAAAGAACTTTGCTACGTCCGAAACATATACTAAGGATACTATAAGGAACAGTCAAGAATAAGGCGATGAGACAATCTGAACGTGACGCATTTATGTTACACTTTCGTTACGGCAACGTCACTCTTGCGGTGAGTGATGTAATGTGATGGAGAGTCTGTACAATACTTACTTGTGAGACCAGTAGTGAAGAGAAAGTTTATGGTGAACTGAGAATAGTGTGACCAAAATTGATGCTGGTTAATGTGATTATAATTAATATTAAACGCGGTACCATGTTATTTCATCTACTGCACGTCTGAGCAGTCACACCGCAGTTTGGATAAGACGCTCGGTAATCATCGTTCATAGCGATTAGCGAGGTCGCTATGCCCTCAAGAATTTCATCCAAGAAAGTTTGACGCAATTGCCTGGTGAGTTGCGACATTTTTCAGTGTTCATGCATTTTTATTTGAAATAAACATTACATCGTAGCGAGTTAATCTTTCCAAGTTAAGATATCGTCTTTTATCGTTAGTATAAGAGCGTTACAGCCAGAGCCTCATTCAGCGGCCACAACCTTCTCATTAGGGGCCACTACCCTCACATTCAGGGGCCACGACCCTCTCATTAAGGGGCCACGAACCTCTCATTAAGGGGCCACGAACCTCTCATTAAGGGGTCACGTCCTCACACCTCAAACTCGAAATGCTCAGAACACATCATGGAACATTTTACTAACAAATCACGTGATTAGCATTAATAAATCACTGCCAGAACCGAGTAACATGAAACACAGGCTGCGCTAATATACGCTGTTGCAGCGCTCAATCCAAATAAAATAGCCTGCTCTCAAATTTTGGTGAATAAAACAGCCTGCTTTCAAATCTTGGCTAATGACACATATGTTTGACACCAGACACACAGCCTGCTTTAATATCAGGGTAAATAACACAAGTTTGGTAACGTTAATGCTTTCAACATAACGAGAACGCACGCGTTCGAAGCAAATAAGATGTTCTGTTTGTTGGATGCTTCTTTTATATTATAGGCTGAAAATCCTGTAACATTAATGCACTTTAACGGCAAGTCTATAACATAAAAAACGAGATCACTGTTGATAGAGCGCAATTTAATGATAGAGATAGTCTGCAAACAAGTATATGTATTTCCGAGTTGCGGTATTCCTCTTTGTTTTGAAACTAAGAACTGGGATACATAAAAGAGGTAAATTTATCTCATTTAATGAGTACAAGCTGGTCCACCTCAGGCTCAAGAAGACGCTCCAGTTAAGGAGAAAGTTAACTGGGACAAACACGAGGCATTTATTGCAACCAATCTTGTACTGTACAATCTTGTGCCCCACTCCTGCGCCTCACTCCTGTGCCCCACTCCTGCGCCACACTCCTGTGCCCCACTCCTGAGTCCCACTCCTGATTCCCTCTCCTGAGCCCTTCTCCTACGCTCTACTCCTGGGCCCAATCCTGCACCCCACTCATGCACCCCACTCCTGAGCCCTTCTCCTATACGCTCTACTACTGGGCCCAATCCTGTGCCTCACTACAACGCCCCACTCTTGCGCTCCAGTCCTGAGTCCCACTCCTGTGACCCACTCCAGAGCCATACGCCTGCGTCCCACTCCTGCGTCCCACTTATGGGCCCTATATATACTCTTGCACCCCATCGCAGCCCACTCTTGTACCCCACTTCGCAGCCCAAATCTTGCGTTCTACTCCTGCGAGTATACTTTTCTACATAACTCCCATTAATATTGAGACATTTATCGTATCTTGGGACCAACTTTCGTCTACCCTCGTCAAAACAGCTTGCCGCCTGATCAGACAACTACAGCTACACGACTGTTTTTGCTTCGTCATCATCGGAAATGTGTAACGTAGGCTACCCACGCTTCATCACCAGGAAAATATTGCTTAGGAGATCATTCCTCTCGTTATTGTATCGCTCGAGAAAAAATGCGCTGAACAATCTTTTAAACCCGATTTAAACTTTCGAACACAGTTTCGTAAAGAACACTTTTACAGACAGCAGAAAACTTTTCAGCCATGGACGAAATCGTAAAATGTCTGCTGTCACTTTGCAGTCCAATTTTTTAATCAGATCATCGGTGATGACTGAAGGTCTCCCATGCACTTCTTCCCTCATCGTGAATATTTGTTCGGCCATCTTTAAAGGCCCTAACACATTCCCGCATCATTCCACCACTAAAAATTATTTTTCCACCAAGCACTGCCTTGATTTGGCGATAAATGTCAAATGGTTTGAAACCTTGAGCACAGAGAATCTCATGGACTTCGCAGCCCGCGGGATTTTCAATAGATGGAAGCACTTTAAAATAACATAAAACCTTGTTGAACTAGTATAAGGTTGACCATCAGAAGCCCATTTTTGCGGATGCAGTTTGTTGTGCGCATGTGACGTCTCTGATCTCAGTGACGTCACGTGCATTAATCAATCACCGAAATGCGATCAAACCGGCCAACCAATCCGTCATGGGAATGACGAGTTTGTTTACGTTTCTTGATCTACGTGACGTAACAAGAAAATTGAACTGAAAGACGGAAATTCTCGTGGGTCAACCTTATATAGTTCAATCATGACATAATCCGATCTAGACTCGATCGGATGGTTCCATATAATAGCGTCTGTGGCTTCCAAACAACTACACGAAGCGCATGCGCTGCGTCCCCTCCCAGTAAAAATTTGCGGACGCGGCAGCGTCTGATTTGGATTACCAGAAGCTGGGACGACTCTAAATTTTGTTAGGGCTGGCGGCTACAGCGCTATAGCGGTCTAAATTCTAAATCTTATTTAAATTCAGCGGCCTTGAAATTGTATATTTCAAATATACTTTTGTTTCTCTTACAACTGAACTGCTATTCATTGTAATCAGCAGCAGCCGGACCAGCCGTTATCAGCAGCAGCGGGACCATATGTTTTCAGCAGCAGCCAGATCACCCGTTATCAGCAGCAGCGGGACCATATGTTTTCAGCAACAGCCAGATCACCCGTTATCAGCAGCAGCGCGACCATATGTTTTCAGCAGCAGTCAGATCACCCGTTATCAGCAGCAGCGGGACCATATGTTTTCAGCAGCAGCCAGATCACCCGTTATCAGCAGCAGCGGGACCATATGTTTTCAGCAGCAGCTGGATCACCCGTTATCAGCAGCAGCTGGATCCCCGTTATCAGCAGCGGCGCGGGATCGACCACTCGTTATCAGCTCACCGGAGCAACCGTTATCTCGCTATCGCGTCGTAGCTGCGGTAGTTGCTCGCGAGCGCGTCTAGTTCGAGGACCCTATACACAAGTTGGAAGTATTCACTCAAACTTAATAATAAATATTGTACTCAAATTTAAATGGCTTCGTATGTGATTTTTGTGGATGTAACTTTAAAACTTTATCATCAGAGTGCAGCATATTATACAAGTGAAAAGTTAACTTCATTTGTATTGTGAAAGCGGGTTTTAACGATATCTTGGTTTTGTGCAATTACACTCAACCCTCTACCGCCTGACACGAGTAACCGGAGCAATATTGTCACGCGCCTACTTCCCAAAAATGATACGTTGTAGTGAGCGCAAAATGACTTGCACTGATGGTTGCCGCCACGTATGATAACTTTAAAATGTTCTCTTTTGCGTACAAACGTCCTCAGGTTGCTACACTCAATAGTTTACGTATAATTGTATGTTCCCTGAGAGTGACATACGGCAGTATAGAGGGTGAAATTGACCCAAGCTGCCCTATGAAGGCTTTTTTTCCACGTAACAATTCAGATGATGGAAAAAAGCCAAGTGCGTTTGATGGAAGGATAAATACGATAAATATTTCTGGAAGTCATCTCCACAAAATTGAATTATTTCCCTATGGCAATATCGATAACATATCTAGTTATAGGTTTTGAAAATCTGTACCGAATATAACTAAAATAAATGGGAGTGCAATTTTTCATTTCGATTCTAATTTGTATGTTTCGGTTTTCAGAAACTACATGACCCTTAAAATAGAGAAATGCCCTAATATGTTCAAAAGAGTCCACTTATTCACTATTTTTTGCCGTTGATTTTTCTTTCGACGAAAACCGCAAGTAAATTTAGCTAGATTATTTCTTAATAAACTGTTAAGAAATGCGGAAGAAAGTCATATTAAGACTCGCACTGGTTGTCTTAGTTATTTTCTTATATAAATTCACTACCTTACATCGTTCCACCCCGGCAAAACAAGTAAATTTAAATTTTAATCCAGAACAGCCCGTCGTATCGTTTAGACCGGGAGGTCGACTGGGGAACCAAATATGTATGTGCGCACATCTACTGCACACCAACATCACATACACGATGCAGGTGAAGCGAGGGCACTTGCTTCTGTAATATAACTGTTGTTGATACTTTTCTCTGTAATATAACTGTTGTTGATACTTTTCTCTGTAATATAACTGTTGTTGATACTTTACTTTGTAATAGAGCTGCTACTGATACTTTCCAGTGTAATATAACTGCTGTTGATACTTTCCTCTGTAATATAACTGCTATTGATACTTTACTTTGTAATATAACTGCTATTGTTATACTTTACTTTGTAATATAACTGCTATTGATACTTTACTTTGTAATATAACTGCTATTGTTACTTTACTTTGTAATATAACTGCTATTGTTACTTTACTTTGTAATAGAAGTTCTATCTATACATTACTTTGTAATAAAACGCATTATTCATACTTTCCTTTGTAATAGAACTCTTATTAGTACTTTATAATACAGCCCTGCTTCAAGACATGGCGCGTGTAGCAACCAAAGAAATATTGGGTGTCCGTGATAAATTTCAGGGCTTACTTATTCCTTGTCCTGACGCGAAGAATATTATTGTTTGCTTCAAAAACTTCATAACAAGGTTCAGGTATATGCTCTCAATTGAGAGATTGTTTTTACCAATTTTAATTTACTGACCAGAAAAATGATCATAGTATGAATAAAATACACGATTAGAATTAATAAGTACTCAATTCAATATTCATTGCATTATAATCTTATATGCATAACTTGATATATATATTAACCCGGTCTTGTTTATTTGATCAGGGATTCCTCTACCCAAACATGCGTGATCTATTGATGAAGCTTTTTGAACGCGCCCCTTTGCCGACCATTCCTTCTGCCATCATGGAGCAGGTGAGAGTACAGCTCTGGGGCCATACTTTCAAAACTCGCTAAGTGAACATGAGTACTTACGCTCTTTTTTTTTCTACGATTAAGTGAACGTAAGTACTTACGCTCTATTTTCTTGTCTATGATTAAGTGAACGTAAGTACTTACGCTCTATTTTCTTGTCTATGATTAAGTGGACGTAAGTACTTACGCTCTATTTTCTTGTCTATGATTAAGTGAACGTAAGTACTTACGCTCTATTTTCTTGTCTATGATTAAGTGAACGTAAGTACTTACGCTCTATTTTCTTTTCTACGATTAAGTGAACGTAAGTACTTACGCTCTATTTTCTTGTCTATGATTAAGTGAACGTAAGTACTTACTCTCTATTTTCTTGTCTATGATTAAGTGAACGTAAGTACTTACGCTCTATTTTCTTTTCTACGATTAGTGGATTTTGCTTGAAAGGCCGTCAATGATTGGCTGATGAACTTACGATCTCTTAACTTTTTTTGAAAGTATAGGCCCTGAACTTGATAATGTAAGTTGAATTCTACGTTAAACTAAAAAAAGATTTAAGTTTCTTTTGATTAATTGACAGGTACCAATTAATATGGGTTGTTATAATAAAGAATAACGATGACTTACGTTTTACTGAAAATATCGGGTATGTATACGACCGATGGTAAACTATTCTAACGGTCCATTTAATGATATACACGTATTTTCAAAGTTTCATGTTTCATAGTTTTCAGGAAAATGTTTCAAAGAAAACAATCAAGTTTTTTTTTGTTCGAAGATTGAGATTTCGACAGATTTGTGCATTAATCAATATATTGAGATTTTAGGCCGAAAATAATAAAAAAATTTAAAGCTTAATATGCTTCAAACAAATGGCTTGCAGTTGTTTTGCACATGACATTCGATATTGAATATACAACAGATGTGCGTTACATTTGATATTATATATACGACAGATCATAAAAGATGACACCAATCTCAAGATGCGGCGTAAAGCTATCTGTTTGATAAATAAGCCAGAGGATATAATCACCATCAATGCTTGTTAATCCCATGTTTCAGATGAATAATCACTCGGTTGATTACTTCACGGCGCTCGAGGACTTTAAGGCCAACAAGAGACAAGTATATAGATAGATATACAAGATATACAAGCCAGAGGATATAATCACCATCAATGCTTGTTAATCCCATGTTTCAGATGAATAATCACTCGGTTGATTACTTCACGGCGCTCGAGGACTTTAAGACCAACAAGAGACATGAGAACTTCACGTTGCTCACTGGCATGCCGTGCAGACTCTCTACCTTCTGGAATATGATGCCCCTCATCCGCGAGAAGTTTGCTCTAAAATCTTCACTGAAAGTACGATTTTAGTGAAGTGAATTCTAGTGATTTTACTGCAATGCAAAAATTTAGTTTTTTATTTTATTTATATATCTTGTAAATGCACTAATAAATGCAATATTTTGAGAAATATTGATATGGTAGCGGTAGCACGGTTTTGGCACCATACGAAGGCCTCAGCCGGAAATATAATATATAATGTTGGAATTTTGAACAATGTATTCCCAACAATTCCGAGCAAACAGACAAATAGCGTTAATTAACTTATAACTTCTGACACCAAGACTTGGGAAGCAAAGAAAACGACAAGAAAATACACCGTATATCTTCACCATTTTCAATCTGTATCCATATAACACCCTTTATGTTTGTACTAACGTCATTTCAAAATTTCAAATTAAGGTGTTGCAAAACTCTTCCCCCTACTTGATAATGAATGAAGTTGCATTCTAAACGTCGTAAATCATAATAAAATATTCCGTGGAAATTTTTTATTTTAAATTTCAAGTCTTATCAAAAGCCTAATACGCCGAATAGAGATAAACAGTAAAAAATGACCAATAAGAAATACTCTCTGGCCCTTTATGAAACTTGCATTTAAAATATAAATACACACGAAAGAGATATTAAATCCTAAGTAACAAGAAACTACCACGGAATATAGAAAGGCATCGATATAAGAATTTCAAATGGATATGAACAATAAACACTATTAAGGCAAGGTTTGTACAATAGTGCAGGAGTACGACAATAGTGCACGGAGTTTTGTGACAACTTCATGAAGCTGATGTAGCGTGAAGGTCTTGTCACATTAAAGTACAGAGTTGTGCAAGTACCGAGTTGTGCAAGTACCGAGTTGTGCAAGTGCCGAGTTGTGCAAGTACCGAGTTGTGCAAGTACTGAGTTGTGCAAGTACCGAGTTGTGCAAGTACCGAGTTGTGCAAGTATGGAATTGTGAAAGTACGGTCACTTTCATGAGACATTGAAAACTTGGTTACAAAACCAAAAAATAATAAATAAATCGTGATTTCTTTATCGACTTCAAAAGATGTAAACTTTTATAAGAATTTTGTTCACTCAAATACCGAAAACGTTGTCGATTTCCAAATTTATCTAATATCATAAGGCATTGTAATTTGGAAAATTTTGTTAAAATCTTACGCTGTATTGAGGCATTAAATAATAACTCAAGTGCTCCAATAAGCTGAATTATGCATTAATAAAATTATATCCACAATTTTTAGATATATATTATATCGTCGTGAATAAAACTTAATTCAAAATCAATATATTTTGGTGCAGGGGCGTACGCAGGAATATGCAGGGTAAAAATTGAAACCAGGTCTTCCGGAAATCACAATCTCTTTCGATTTCATGCATACGGCGGTATCATTTATAAGTAATAAATGCATTGAATATTGTCTAGAATTCGGCGAGACGTCGTCTTCAGGAGTCCTTACTGGAAAACAGGCGCAACAACGGAAGACCTGAGGTGCGTTTCACAGCGCTGCCGTTATTTTGTCACTAAAAAATGTTGTCACTATTTTTATTTTTATTATCGCACGCCGTTAATTTGTCACTAAATTTTTAAAACTTATAGAAATGACGCCTCGATCTGTGTTCTATAAATTGTTATCTTTGGTAGTTTTTTTCAGGCGTAACAGTCTTAGGCCACGCTGAAGGTAACTACTTATAGACGAGCCGGCAGTCACTTCCTTAATCACTTCGCCATTATTCGTCACCCAAGTCGTCGTTTCATGAGTGAAACTCATGAAACGACGACTAATTTCACTTAACCTACTGAATTTCACTGAAACGACTAATTTCACTCATCTGAGTGAAGTTAGTGCGCTTAAACGAATATTTCATTGGATAAGATCTTTTGATTTTACATAGCATTTAATTACTTTTGTTTGTATTCTATAATGAATTTCATTCATATCGATTAATGCGCATGCACTATCCGAAACTCCGATCTAAATAATGTCATGTAAAGTGTGCCTGTACCAACTTATATATGAAAATTTATCAATATGAAATTCGTCGTTATGATTGCTTAGTTTAAAATTGCTATTATGCACGGCGATTATTGCGTTAACTTGATCAATGGCTTTCAAATGTGCAGCGAACAGCGGACGTTGAAACTGTGGTGGGGGTGCACGTAAGGCGGGGAGACTTCCAGTATATTCTTGATAAATATTCTGGGAACTCCTTCCTACCGCCCGCCTACTACCACAGCGCCTTCGAGTACTTCAGGACACGGTAGGTGAACTAGGAACACCACTCGGGACACGGTAGGTGAACAAGGAACACCACTCAGGACACGGTAGGTGTACAAGGAACACCACTCAGGACACGGTAGGAGAACAAGGAACACCACTCAGGACACGGTAGGTGTATAAGGAACACCACTCAGGACACGGTAGGTGTACAAGGAACATCACTCAGGACACGGTAGGTGTGCAAGAACACGTGTGTAACACTAAGCTCACGCCTCTATCGTTGTTAGCTTCGCCTACTTCTTCCAGAGCATCGGGTCAAGTTGAAGACCCCGAGGAGTTTAATTAAAGTTTAGACTTGACAACGATTCGTCAAGTTAAGTTGAAATGTTTTTCATTAGCTTGAACAATAAATACGATACAACAATAAAGTCATGAGTGATGTTGTCGGCAGTTTAGTCATACTTTGACGTTGAAAAACTCGATGCTCATTTACGGACGCCATTTTCATTCCATGTTTCAAAGAAACTTTCATTGCATTTTTTAATTTAAGGAAAGTTTTATAAAAGAAAATTCCAATCGGAACTAATACTAGTTAAACGTTGAAATTCTTTACAAATATTCTAAATTAAAGGCAAAGAACATTAATAATACACAGTTCATGAATCACTATTTTCAAGTTTCATTTACAGCTAATGCATAGATTCTTTTAATCCAGATTTAGGCGAGTGCTCTTCCTAGTGATGACAGCAAAGAAAGAAGTCCCTTGGTGCAAGGAGAACCTTGCATCAGGCTTCAGTGATGTGGTCGTGTTGGATGACAATGCATCCGCGGAGCTGGATTTCGTCCAACTTGCGTCATTGGAACACATTATTTATTCTCATGGCACGTTTGGTTTATGGACAATCCTGTTATCCAATGCCAAAACAGTGGTGTACCCGCATCCCTCCACAGATGTGGGCTTCAAACGGTACTCCCATCACCGGTCCCTGGACTTCATGAAGACTAAACTTAATACAACTTCATTTGTTACCGTAGTGTTCTGATGAATAATTATTCCCATCGTCGAAAAAGTGTTGAGTAAAAAGAATTTTATCATCATTGGTCTGTATGAAGACTAGATTGTACATCGCTGTTCTATAGTACGATATAATAGTATAATAGTATATAATATGGTATCATAGTACTATATTATACTACTATATTATAACGGCAGCATATTTTCCATTTGTCTGGATCCCCTTGGCATGGTTTTTATTTAATGTATAAGCAAAAAAGCAAATTATAATAAAATCTTTCATTCACAGTGCCACGGAACTTTTTTCTCTTAATTTATTATTTCTTTCAATGAGTTTCTTACTTCTACGAGAAGAAACGATTATTTTTCTTTGACTTTTTTAATTAATGAGACGATCTGTGACAAAGATAGGAGGCTCGGGCGTTGATACCGCCCAATGCTGTAATAATATCAGAGTATTTATCATTTTATTATAAACACTGTTAAGTATTAAGTGTAAATGTAAAGAGATTAATAATATTCTCTTGTGCGTTACTGTGATGCATTAAACGTTCACTATGAATCACATTGGTGTAACAGGTCAGCGTAAATAATATACTCTTATTTTGTATAAAAAATTGCGAATGAAATTAAACTGAATAGAATGAAAACCTTATGAAGACATTGTAGTGCAGGGCAGCTGATGTGAACAAAATATGAATGACCCCGCCATGGACTTGGTTCGAAAGAAAGATATGACCATTTAGAGATCACGTAATTATAAACTTAAGTTTTATCACACCACGTTGACCACATTGTATACATTTCTAATGTGACATTTAATCAATGAGATTAAATTTAGGGTTCATATATGGGTGGTCCCTCTTCCCCTCACTTAAATCGCCTCACAGCGCATAGTCACGCATGTTTAATGCGTCGGAATTTATTTGGAGCTCATAGTCTAATAATTTAAAATGAAACATTTTACTGACGTATTTGCTGATGATAGAGCCATCTCGTTAATCCTTATTTTTTGAATAGCACATTTAGTTGATACAATTTATTCGCGAAGCACGCAGTTCATGGAATGCACTGAGGAACAACGATTGATATTAATAATAGACTAATATTTCTAATAAAATATCTGAAATAATTAAACTTAGCGTAATTTGACAAAACTTTTTAGCAATTGTTCTTAATTACCAAGAAAATTCATAAATAAGAACTTGATTCACGAATTGGTCTGTTAATATATAGCTACGCTCATCCCATTCTACCATTTTACAAAAAAAAAAAATCATGATATGCGGCATTGTTTTCCGTGATCAGGTTCTAATTGGAAATAATTACCACGTTTTTCTTAACTTCGTTTCGTGTCTGTGTGTCTGTCATCAAAAATGTAGACCTTAATTTAGAGCTCTTTTGAACATCCTAGAAACTTTACATTTGGCATGCATGCTTATGCTGCCTAACAATTCATGATATGATCATCAGAATTAATAATTAAAATAAAAAAAAAATTAAGAAAAAAACAGCTAAAAATCACGGTTTGGAATTGAGTTTTTTTCTCGAACATCCACACTTGCCAACCCTGGATATTGATTTCAATAGCTAAAATTGGCAACTAAAAAGTAGAAAATAAATAAATGGAAAAACCATTTTTTAAAAACCACGTTTTTCTGGTTTTTACAAAACCAAGAAAAAAATAAAATAAAACAAATAAAAAAAACTTTTAAAAACCACGTTTTCTTAACGGACAAAAAATAAAACCATTTACTCCTAAATAACATTACATAACATTTTACATAACTTAAATGTTATGAATGAGTAAATGTTTTTTTTTTTGTCCGTTAAGAAAACGTGGCTTTTAAAAGTTTTTTTATTTGTTTTATTTCCTTATTTTTAGTTTTGTGAAAACCAGAAAAACGTGGTTTTTTAACACGTTTTTATTAACACGTTTTTCTTAGCTTAGCTTCGCGTTTGTTTGTTTGTTTGTTTATTTGTTTGTTTTTAACACGTTTTTCTTAGCTTAGCTTCGCGTTTGTTTGTTTGTTTGTTTGTTTGTTTATTTGTTTGTTTGTTTGTTTGTTTGTTGTTAACATTGACAACGAAAATTAGCCCACTTCTGATTGCTCTAAAGATCTGAAATTCGGCATGCAGGCTATTTTCGCCTAACAATTTCAGATACAATCATAAAAACTAGCAATTAGAGACCTAAATTAGCTTAATTAAGTATATATATATTATATAGTATATATATATAGTATGACGTGTGGGCGCTGGCGTTATAGACGAGCACGCGCTGACGCTGCGTATCATCGATGCGTATCGAACTAATTAAAAACCCCTTTTTTCATGTGTAGCAACGGACTAAAAAGTTGAAAATAAAATACAATAAAAAAAACTTTTTTTAAAAAACACGTTTTTCTTTTGGACTAAAAAGTAGAAAATAAATTATGACTCGCCCCAAAAAACGTGGGTCGGGCTCTACGTTCATGTGCACCATCAAATTTCCAAAATTCGTGTGTTGTGTGCTTTTCGCTTTAATCCTAAATCTGCCCGACACACGTTTTTTGGGGCGAGTCATAATTTATTTTCTACTTTTTAGTCCAAAAGAAAAACGTGTTTTTTAAAAAAAGTTTTTTTTAATGTATTTTTTAAAAATGTTTTTTCTATTTATTTATTATCACATCGTTAGTACAATCCAGTGCCAGAAATTTTATGGCCTTTTATTGCACTTATTCTTTTTAACCTTGGTCATTTTATTCGTAAATGTGCTTCATGTGCCAGAAATCTAAGAAATTCACCTTGATTTAAATCCTATAGCATGTTGTACCAAACACCATATCACGAGGAATATCATTTCATCATTTATTAACCATCGCAGGTATCTTCATTTAGTTCCATGTTAGAAATCTAATGTAGATGTGATATTTCATAGTCTATTCTATGTTAGGTATTTTGTAGTATAAATATTTATTTGTGAGCTCTAAACTTTCGAGTGCAACGCGTTTTCGTAGCCAGTTTACCGCCCGTAGCTCTTCTTTGGAATAGAAATAGGTTTTCACGATGGCGAAAATGCAAATTGAAAGTGAAGATAATTAATTCGATGGTTAACTTTGGAAAGCTTGAAGATTTGAATGAGATAAAGGAAATAATTAGTGTAAATCAGTTTTGTATCCTTGACGACTGACTAATTATTATATTGAGATCTTTTGTAGTGCAGATCAAACAGAAGAGTTTAACTTGTTGAGAAAACTGTGATTGTGAACTGAGGTCGGTAGATCCTGCAGGACAATTCAAGATTTAACAGTAGAGATTTGTACTTATTGTACTTATGTCGAGCCAAATTCCATCACTCAATGCGCCTTTTAACTTGATAAAGAATGATAGAAACATTCGAAACGTCGTTAAAGAAATAAAAATGTCCTTCGGTATTCTGATTTTCGATTTACCCGTGCAAACGAAAAATTTTGTTTGATCTATTGAAAAAACTAATAAGAAAATTGGCAATAAAACGAATTCTCTGGTCTTCAATGAAAGCTGCTTAAAATAATAATAATATTATACGTAGCAGAGTAATAATATTTGTGTTTATTTCATATTCCCATTGGTTGTTATTTATAATTTGCTAATCAAATACTACGTAAATTGTTAGATTGTTTTAAAAAGGACGTAAATTTGTTCGGTGGGATATTGCAGATCAATGACATTGCATTGTTGAACAGTTGAGCGAAGATATGTGTTACAGCCGCTGTTGTTTCTAAGATGATAAATACGATAGAGAAAAATTTATGTCTCAGAATATTCACCATTGTTATTAAATGTTAGTTTATTGGGCTTGAGTATGTCATATAATTTTATTTTTTTTTATACTTTTATTCCACTTTTCAGAGAAATCTTCGAGTCTCACGGGTGCTTGCTACATAAATGTTATGAAGAATATAGCCGTACACAACACAGAATTCTTATTCACTTAGAATGTATCTGAAGTGGTACACGCGAGAGTTCATGCTTAGGTGTTGGTATTGAAGCCCCTGCACTTTCAGGAGTGATAAGTTCTTCTTCCTATGTGCATCAAATTAGTAATAATAAGAAATAAGAATAGAAATAGAATAAGTTAGAAATAAGAAGTTTTTACTCAACATGAATCGGAAAGCTTGCCGAACGCTCCCTAATTATGTCATTCGTAAGCTAATCTGTTTATGATCGAGATGACAAAAGTCCAAATAATGATTCACTTATTCTTTTTTGGCTCATTCTGACCTAATTTTGCCCGGCAAAATGGTGTATAAATACTAAAATATAATCCATCCTCTGTTCACGCTGTGGGGAAAAAAGGGTGTCACTATTTGTACATTATGTTCCAGTAATTTCCCTAAATGTTTGAGTAGGAGTAGCATTGAATTCTCCGCATTTTATTTAACAGGGATGAAGGTGTCACAATCTAACGCTTGACAATTAAACTAATTAAACAATCTAACGCTTAATTAACAGGGATGAAGGAGTCACAATCTAACGCTTGACAATTAAACTAATTAAACAATCTAACGCTTAATTAACAGGGATGATGATGTCACAATCTAACGCTTGAGATGCTGGCCAGAATCAGGCGCTAGGTTCACTATCTGTTGTCATGTCATCATGCGTGAACGCATTTTTTTATTAATATTAAAGTTTTATAATTGAATTGATTCAATAAGAAAGTTCCTTGAACCAATATTATTTCTGTAAAAACGTGGTGAGGCAAGAAAGATTCATGGAAATCATTAATGGTTTGAAGACACATGTGAACTCTTTATAGCGAATAATATTCTAATATTTTGTTCAACTTTATCTGTTCAAATTTGGTGCCTAATTGCTATTCGAATATGAATTACGTATTATTTCAAAATTATTCCTAATTAAGTTTATTTGATCAAAATTAAGTAATTTAAATTTTATTACGCACTTGACATATACTCTGACATAGAAAGCAGTCACAAGTTGTAGGTTATATGAGGCCTCTTAATAATATCTGGGTCCGTTATTTAACACTTAATATATTAATACTTAGTAAATGCAATAATAGTATTTTATTTGAGAAACTTAAGTTACAATTCTAACGTTAGAACAAATGCTATATGAAGGAATCGTTCATTGACCAGCAAAACGCGAGAACTTGGACATGTTAGGAATCAGCGACAGGCCATATATATTTGCCCAATGCATGCTTACTTCA